ACTGATGAACATGAGGCCTGTTGAAGGCAGACAAGCTGGAGCCAGACTGAAGGTCAGACGAAAACCATCACGTGTTGAGCTCCTCTGCTGCCACCTACTGGCTCTTATTATTTCTGACTTGTAACACAGTGCATACACTCATTGGCCATATTTTTAGGCACACCTTGCAAGCATTGGGTTGGATGGTTTTAAATTTCAAATGTATATAGGTAGAATAAAGAAAAAGTTAAAAAGTTAAAAGTTAAAAAGTTAAAGAAAAACTATTCTAAACATGTAACAATTATTTAACTTTAAACTATTTTTAAAAGCTTAATGTAACTGTAAACTAGTCTGTAATGACTGATTCATGACTTTTGCACAACCCTGTTGAAGAGGAAGTCTGTTTTGTATACAAAGCAGCGCTCTGCTGTTTCTATGGTGTGTGGTGTTGAAACCACACTGCAAAACAGCATCAAGCACAGACACGTCATCTGTTCCCTGACAGAGCACAGGCCTGAAACACAACCTAGAGTGAAACAGTTTCAATTCTTCGTCACACAGTTAAAAAGGGGGTTTTACTTCGAGGTTTTTGGAAAATTTTCAGTTCTTTAAGTCACTAAATTACTGATATTCAATCTGAGGTCATGTTTATGACTCATTTTTATCTCTGACATTTTTATAACAGTAATCCCACAGCAATGTTTCTGTTTCATCTTTGTGAGTGTCACATTGGGTATGTGAGATAGCCTAAGGGGGCCTAAAATAAGGTGTGGACTAGTTGTGGCTCAAATGTCACAATAAAGCTGACCTACATGAGGTAGCTTAAGACTTTTATCGAGTTACTGAGTAAATGAGTCCCACAGATATCACAGTGTCACATGACCTTGAGCTTTAACTCCCTGTGATCCAGCTATTACAGTCAGCTCTGCTCTGAAACAGATCACTGAAAAAACTGACCTGATCACATTTTAACATTCAGAGTCACAGGGAGAGATTCTTAAAGATTTAAATCACTGGTTTGAAAGTCTGAAACTATTCTGAAGATAGTTTCATGACAACAGGGCTGATTTCTGTTCTCTGTAAAAAATACTTCCTTGTTACAGCAACAGTGGGGGAGGGGAAGCTGAATGGTAAACTACACCCTCCATTTTGTTCTCTGCTTACAGCCACAGACTCATTAGGAGCTGTGTAGGTTACATTTTAATGATTTGTTTTTATATACTGCATTTAAAGAAGCTCAGAGTGAAAGCTTGGCCTAACATTTTTAAAATGACATCTAAAAAAATTACATAAAGAAACACAAATCTTTAAGGATTTGGTTTCTGTCACCATGCTTTTCACCTGGTGTTGCCTGGAGCTACGCTCAGGTGGCTTGTTTGTTTATGGATCAGCAGTTTCCAGTAAGATGAGCTGCACAAATGTGACCACTCCCAGCACCATTCAATGCACAGATCCTTATTAAATAATGAAATAGAACGCAACATAACACAAACAGAACAATTAAGTGATTATTTTCATACTTTATTTTTTTGGTATGTTTTTTATTTACGAATTTATGCACAATTTTAAGATTGTAAATCTCTCACATCTTAAAACTCGCTGTTGATATCTCTCTGTCTGTGTTGCTGTCGTCACTCCTAAAACTTTCCCCTATTCCTCCTAAACAACCAAGTCTCAGGTGTTGCCATATAATTTCATTATTAGTTATTATATATAATTATTTTATAATGATAATTTTTTCACTAATAGGAAAGGGGTGGCTTTTTTTTCCCTGTTTTTGCCCTTTAACCCTATTCAATGTATTTACTTTTAGAATTTATATTCAGTGTTAACTGTAGCTTAAAGTGTTAATGCTAGCTTATTTTAACCTCTTAAGCCCCAAGCCTACCTGATCTCCTGCCTTTTGCCCCCGTATCAGGGGGCGTTGGGGCTTAAGAGGTTAAGAAACGACACTGTCGTATGCAAAACTAAGGCGCCAAAAGATCATTTCAGGGTGGCACATTTTACCCCCATAGAGCCACCCGTGAGACTAAATGCCATCGTGTACTCTGTGTAACAGAGAATAACAGGATTTAAGGTTCAGTTTGATTTGGTCATGTTTACAGCTTTAGTTAACAGACAAACTGAGGCATCTCTGTTCTGCTTCTGGTGTTTTCATCACCTTAATGATAGAAGATGATGATGCAGGAAACTCTGCTGTGTCTGCAATCACATGAAAGTTGCCTTTTTTTATAGCAGCGGTTGGTCACCAATTTTATTAAATGAGGATCTGAGGAATTATATCTTCTCTGTTTTATAAAACTTGTGGTCATTAAAGTATTGACTAAAACTAAAACTGTCTTTCTCTCCATCCTCCTTCTCTCTGTCAACTCTGTGTCCTCCTGCTTTACCTGCAGGTGAGAAACCAGTATAGAACAGAATCCATTTACACTTCAAAGTGGTTACCACCTCCTCTGGTCTCAAAGCAAAGATTCCTAAAGAAACCCCCCCAAAAAACTAATTCTGTACTAAATCTGTACAAAACCCCCTTTTAACCAGACTCAGGGACGGGCAGCTATCTTGCCACAACTGGTTGCCAACAGCAGGAGACTCAAAGTGTAGCTAGAAAAAACTCCAGATATTTATGAAACCTGACTTTGTTGCTTTTTGTGTTTTCTGTAGATAAAAACAACAACAACATCAGCAACAAGAAGCACAGCTGGAAATACCAGACCAGCTATTAGTCCAACAGATCCACTTTCAGATACAGGGAAGATACCCTGGGTATGCTGAACTTGTTTAATGGCACAGGGACGATGTGAGTCTTGACTCTGTCGTTTATATTTTCTATAGATCAAAACACCAGCAACAACAGCAGCAACAATAACAGCAAAAACTTAAAGAAAAATAGAATAGAATAGAATTCAACTTTATTGTCATTGCACATGTCACAGGTACAAGGCAACGAAATGCAGTTTGCATCCATCCAGAAGTGCTTTAGCCGTAATATAGTTATATTACAAATATATATTAGCAATAATATAGATATATAGATATATTAGTCTATTATGGGTCTATTATTAGGGGTGGGGAAAAAATCGATACTGTGTAGTATGGTGATATTTTGTTTGCTAATAATGTATCGATACAGGGACAGCAGAAATCGATATTTTGTTACAAAAAAGGTTTTTGTGCTCTGACTTCAGAGCATGTTGATCCTTTTTCTGAGCAAGAATCCTGATATTCCTTCACTGTCCAAATGTGTTTAACTTTTTTTTTTTTGGCAGCAATAAACATGACAGTTTACTTATTTTAATTTAAGATATGTTTAAAACTTTTTTATTTAATGTAAAATTACATTTTGTTTTAATTTACTTTCAAATTCTTCAGTTGCTGAAGGGGCTGCATAGTTTTCATAAATTTCATAGTTCAGAATAGCTATAATTGTACCAGATGGTTGCGTTCAGTTAAGTTGGACTAGACTGTGATACAAACCGTTCAGTTTGTCAACAATAAAACTGAAATGAGAGAAAGACTGAGAGTGAGACTTTGATATTAGATAAAATGAATATTGATAAAGTTTACCTTTATGTAGGGGAGACCGGGGATAGTTGTAACGTGGGTCAGTTGTAACACTTCCAATTTCTCCAATCAGGGCTAAGTATCAAATGATGTGATTCATCCTGTACATGTCCAATTCAGTTCTGCTATCACCTGTGAAAAATCAGCACATTTTGTCAAATACAGACAATTTAACATGAAAAAAAGTAATTTGTATGCCAAAAAGTAAGTTTTTCTACTTTATTCCAATTTCTAATAGCATTATCTGCTTTGCAGTTAAACTCATCAAACTTAAATTATGTTATTTGTATGTCTATGGGGATATATTCTGTGTCTTTAGTGCTAATGTTTTAGCCGTTGGCTGTAATGTTAGCTAGTTCATGGCTATAGGAGTCTGGGTCAGTTGTAACAGCAACAGTCTGGGTTAGTTGTAACAATAATGCAGATGTTACAACTTACCACACTATTACTTTAACTTATATTAAACAAGTTGGGGCAACGACATCAGCAGAGAGAGGTTCACTGGTCGCGTTTGTATATGCGGTTAATGCCATTGGCAACACAATTCCTCCACTGTTTGTGTTCCCACACATACATTATGCAGACCACTGTGTCAGAGATGGACCAGTAGGAAGTATTGGTAGTGGAAATAAATCAGGATGGGTGTGAAAAACAGATTTCCTCATCTTTCTGAAGCACTTTGCAAACCACACCAAGGTAAGCCATGATAAAAAGTAATGGAATTGCGATGCTGGTGAACAACTACATTTTTTCAGCTTCATTGTTATGTTCAAAGTTGGTGCAAGAGTTGTAGGTTATAATGCCCACTGAGCCAATGAGGCCAAACTCAAGGAAGACCAACCAAAATTAATGAAATATTCAGTTGCAGAAAATTCCATAATTTGTCTTTTTTGGGGGGTTGGAATATGTTCAAAAGCTAGATTTCTGCATTCTGTCACACACACACACATAGTTACATAAATGGCTCTAACTGCATTCATGTGTTGAATAAACAAAGATTACATGTTAATGTTTTGTCAGTACCCCTATTTCATTGTGTTACATTTCACCCCAGGATATGTTACAACTAACCCAGACTATGGGGTTAACTGTAACATTTCACTCTTTGTGTTTGAGACCATACCATGCAATGGGTAATTGTGCTGCAGAGAAAATAGCTGCACTATTTAATAGCCGAGACATGTAAATACTTTGCATTACATTTTGAATCCACTACCTTAAAAGAGCTCCAATTTACAGACAGAAATGTCAAAAATGTTACAACTATCCCCAGTCTCCCCTACAGAATCTGAATATTGCAAAATATTTTAAAAAATTGCAATAATATTGTATCGTGGGATGTATGGTGATTCCCAGCTCTATCTATTATGGTATGTTATAATGTACACGGTATGAAGTATGTTATGAATATGCTATAACTATAAGTATGTACAGGCTATGAACAGGATATAAATATGAAAAACTATACAGAAATATGAACTATGTGGATTGTAAACAGTTGTAGGATTAAAAATTACAGAATGATTATTTACACAGAATTATACAGTAGTGCAGTTAAGATGAGTGAAACATGGATAATTAAGCGATCTCACTTTTCTCAAAAACAAAAATGCTATTGGCTTGTTTGTAGCAGCAGAAAAAAATGCTTTTTTTCCCAGACTGTAGTGTCAGTGAAGTCAGGGACCTTTGTGGGGTGTTGGTGGCACCTGTGCCACAATTTCTGTCTCTGTGATCAGCAGCAGATTCATAATTCAGCTGTAGAAAGATCTCAGACATTTGATTCTGCGGTTCATTGGGAGGACAATGTGAATCTCGACTGTGTTGTTTATAATTTCTATAGATCAAAAAAGCAACAACAACAACACCACCAGTATTGCACCATTAGTATCTGTTTCCCTGCTCCAAACAGTGTGAAACCCTCCCAATGTCTTTAGACTTTAACAGGATCTCTGAGAAGCAGGAATCACATATTCAGCACCATTCCCTTTTCTTCTTTTACAGATCAAATCATTCGGTACAAGAACAAACACACCAAAACTGACAGACTCACTATCAGTCCCACAAACCCTCCAAGTCCTCCTGGAGGACATGCAGGTGAGAAGAAGGTGTGAGCTGGTGGTGAGAGAAGAACAGAATCCAGGATTCACAGAAATCCCCTTCATAAAAACCCTGAAAACCAAATTTTGGGCTCTTTTCATGATAAACACGTCCTCAGATCATCTGTTTTTTACTGTGCTGAGTGACAACGATGGGAAATTGGTGCAAAGCCAGGAGACTGAGAGCTCATTTGGAAAAGCTCTGAGATGTTTCAAACAGGAGGCTGGTATGAATCCTGAGCCTGCTTCTTATGTTTTCTTTAGATCAAAAATCCAGAAACAGCAGAAACAAGAAACACAGCGGAAACTGACAGACCAACTGCAGGTCCAACAGAACCACTCTTCTCTCCTCCATCCTCCTTCCCTCCAGCCTCCTTCCCTCCATCCTCTGTGCCTCCTCCTGGCTGACCTGCAGGTGAGAAACAGGTGTGAGGTGTCAGCTGTCAGGTAGGTGATGAGTGAAGAACAGAACAGAATCCATTTCCTCTTCAAACTGCTGTCAGACATTATCTACTGCACTCTGATCACATCACTCAGACCAGCTGCTTTCTACAAAGTCTCATCAACAACATCTTTAAAAACAAACATCAACAACCAGGAAGCAGCTTCACCTCTGATCACACACACACTCAACTCTACTCACTCACCTGGAGGATCAACAACCAGGTAGATGATGCTGATGGGGTCACCATCCAGATGAGCTCTCTTCCTGCGGTGTGTTCCTCTTTGGAGAACACGACACTCGTATGTTCCAGTGTCATTAATCGTCACATTGTTCAGAATCAAAGACACGTCTCCATCCTTCATCTGTCTGTCCTGCAGATCCACCCGATTATTAAAAGATGGATGCTGGTGATCTGGATCAAAGTGTCCATTCCGATACAAAAGTACATATTCATCTCCCAGATCAGCTCTGCTCCACTCTACAATTATGATGTTGTTGTTGTTTGGAGCTCCACATGTCAGAGTGACATTCTGTCCAGACTCAGACTCTTCTGAAAGAAGAAACAACACAAAGCAGAGAGGTTACCAGAAATATTGAAATGATCAGTGTTGTTCAAAAAAAGTAATGTATTACACTACTTTTCTTATAAGTAATGCGTGATCTTTATTTAATTATTCAGCAGATAAAGTAATTGTTTATATTACTCATTACAATACTTTCGTATAAAATGATCTGAAAAATATTGTTTCATAATTATGAGTTAACAATGTAAACCTTATTCTACAGTCTCCACACATCAACACAAATCCCTTTCCTAATGGGAAAAAAAGCATGTCTGATTTTTCTTTTCTTTCTATCTGCTCTTCATGTAATCAATAACTGCAGACGAGCCTTTGTAATGCAAGTAATGACACAACTGTAACATCCTCTGTAATGTAATTACTGAATTTAGTACATAAACAGATTACATTATTGCCTTAGCCTGCTGAAAAATATAACTAGATGAAAGTCAGGTGTTACTTTGGAACACACACACACTTGACATAATGCAGTCTTAGTTCCTGTTCCCTAATCTAATCTAGTTCTACTTTGAATCTTCGCTGGTTGAAGTCATTGCTGCTTGTGTTTTAGCTAGGTATTGTGTGTTAAGGGATAGTTCAATTGGATTCAATTCAAATCTGTAATTAAATTCAAATGTATTTAAATTAAATGACTTAATTATTAAAATACATATAGAGAATGCTTTTTCATGAGAAGTCTCGTTTCAAAGAGTAAAATTAATTCTCTCAATAAAATATTCTCACGGACACAAAATCATCACCATGGTTTAGGTGACTCTTGGTGAACCTTTAACATCCGTCATCATGTAAAACCCAGAAGAGAATAATAATGATAAAGCATAATTTAAAAAAAAAAAATCAAGTTTATTTATTATGTCAACAAAGTATGTTAACAGTTAAGTGAAATTTTTATTTGTTTTCAATTTGTAAATATTTCTGAATATATGGTATTTAACAGTGTGTACACAATCTATATTCAGACCTCTACTCTTTATGCAAACATCGTGTTGGAGATTACACATTTTAAATGAATGTCGATAGAAAACATATATTTTTAATTTTTAAAAATCAAAAATGTGAAACTAGAACCCAATACCATGAAGAAAATGTTAAAGATAAAATGCTATTTGCATTCCGGATACTGTGATCAAACTGCGAATGCGCACCTCGTTTGCTTTCAGAGGCAACTGAACGTAGAACCGAAGCAGCCAGCCAAATCCACCAAAGTGACAAAGATATTACGGCAGCCATTTGCGCTCTCTTCAACGTATGCTGCTCGGTTGTTTGTTAATTGGCCCTTGGGGATAAATAAAGTCTTCTGATTCTGATTCTGAGTTGTTTTCCTGATTGCACAGGAGGCTGGAGGGAAATATATATCCACAGAGCGCTGCTGAAAAAAGGTCCAGCCGAACATCTGCGATCTAAAAACCTCTTCATGATAATCAGGTTTAACATCCAAGCATCGAAAAACACAGGAAGTCAAATGTGTATTTTAGCTAAATAACTGCTGTCAACATTTAAGCACTTCCCTCTGGTGGACAAAATGTGCAATTACACAAAACATTGACAGTAAACAAAACATGCAAATAACAAACAAAATACCACAAACAATAAAATAAAGTTACTAAGTAACACTGTTGTGGTAGGCAACATACAGAGAAATAAAAATTTTTCACACCTTAAGTGGAAAATGTGATTACAAATTTACCACTACCGCTACATATGTGTATGTGTGTACTGTGTGTGTTTATTCCAAGCGACTTAGATTGACAGATTACGCTATATTTTAAATTTTGCAACATAAGTATGACTGCTTAAAGTTTAAAAGCTGTAAAGGGGATAATATTTTCATTCATAACACAGCGGAGTAGAAAGAAACATAAGACAGAGGTTTAAAGGTTTAACTGAAGGAGGGAGTTTTAATGTGTGCAAAACTCAATACACGAAAACATAACCAAAAACCAGAGACAAGGAACTTAGAAACCACGAGCCAGCAAGAAACAACAATGAAAACCAGAAGCACAGGAAAGTAGAAACATATGGGGAACACGGCTAGGAAAAGATCAAACATAATGAGAATTGAAGTAAGCAAAACTGAATACACTAACATAGGAAATGAGACAGTCAAAGTAAAATAGGAACAGGATGAGACAGGCACAGAGACAAGGACTTGACACTGAAACAATGAGTTGCAACTGACTTGGAGAGAGAGGACACATGGAATACGAAGTCTTAAAAAAGACGTGAAACACAGGAAGACACAGAGACAGAAACTGTTTTTAGATGTTTTCCATCATGCTAATTTCCATCATCTCCTGAGTTTATGTTTGCATAAGAATCTACACTGAAATTTAACTGGCTAAATCACCCAAATTACAGCAAATCCTTGTGTTATTTAACCACAGAAATGTAAATGCAATTCAATGCCCCCCCTCCCAAAACAGGCATTTTCCTCTATGCCAGCAGGATGGGGCTAGTATTCAATCTAGTCCACTTGTCACTTTGTCAAACTCCAGCAGTTTGGAATTGTGTTACATGATTTATTTATGCTTTATTGATTTTAATGTTTTGAAATCAACAAAGCCCCCAGTCTTTTGGGTGCTTTATGACACCTGCCCCTGAACCATGCAGCTGCAAAGAACTTCTTGTTATTATGTCTAAGACAACAGTCTTGGCCGAACTATGCACTGATCTGCTGCCCCACTTCCCCCTTCTTTGCTCAACCTATCTAATCAGCTCACCCATATATTGAAAGGACTTTCAAGGACTCTAAAGACACTGCTGAACATTTGTCTCATCCAATAAAAGTATCTTATCAGGTGCAGTCCAGTGTTGGTTTTACATCTGGATTAAGGTTGGTCCTGACAATGGGTGGGGAAATGGTAAATGGTCTGTATTTGTATAGCGCTTTACTTAGTCCCTAAGGACCCCAAAGCACTTTACACATTCAGTCATCCACACATTCACACACTGGTGATGACAAGCTACACTGTAGCCACAGCTGCCCTGTGGCGCACTGACAGAGGTGAGGCTGCTGGACACTGGCGCCACAACCAGTAGGTAACGGGTGAAGTGTCTTGCCCAAGGACACAACGACCGAGACTGTCCGAGCCGGGGTTCAAACTGGCAACCTCCCGATTACAAGATGAACTGCCAACTCTTGAGCCACGATCGCCCCCGATTTCCAGAGAACACATTCTCTGGAAATTGTCTTGAAAGGACATCTAATTAAAAAGCTAAGAGGTTAAAAGGTTTGTCAGTTTAACAAAATGACTCAACGTCTAAAGAAGAAAAAGAAATGTTGGAGCTAACTGTGGCAGAGCATTTGGCCACAGAACACGTAAACTATATCAAGCCAGACATCGCCCTCTGCTGGTCATATTAAACCACCTGGAGGGGTGATAGTGGGTTAATATAGCAATGCTTCTAATATGACTGTACTACAAAGTTGTAAAATGGTAAATATGTCTGTTTAATTTTTGCTGTTGTTGTTTAAATGTATTTATGTATTTATTGCTAAAAGGCACTACATGGCAGAAGAATTTAAATGAGATATGACCACCTTGGATTAAAACAAAAAACTAAACCTTTTATTTAGCTGACTAACCACAAAAAGAAGGTTAGTCTGTATATTTTATATAGTTTAAACAGTTTTAACTTGAAATTATCTAAACCATTAGCACACAGACTCAGAGGAAGAGGGCGGGCTTTACTTGGTGTCAGTGAGAGAAATGAAAAAAAGCTCAAATGAGTGAGAAGGACGATGAAGAAAACATCTGTGCTGTGTCTGCTCTGTAAGTAGAATCTCTGTGTTTGTTTGAATTCTTGTACTTTGACTGTCTGCTCTCCTGATAACTGATGATGGAGGAGAAGACATGAAAAACAAGTTAAAAACACCATGAGAATGAAGTGCATGTCTACAGAGAAAATTTTCATAGGTTAACCAGGAAACAAGAAAGAGAGGTTCAGTCAATGACTATATCAAAATAACCTAAATGTAGACAATTCACGTGTATTCACGTTTGTGTAATTAAGTCTTTGTTGTATTACATGTACTAACACAAAAGGCTCCAAAATAGAGGACAGAGTAGCTGTAATAGCTAACATACCTCAATGATGCAGATTTATGTCTAATGTGGGATTTATTAAATTATAGAAAATTGATATGGTTAATACCTGATGTTTTGAGTCCCCAGTGAGACCAGTGCCATTGTTAATAAGAGTTAATCAGCAACAGTGTAGTAAAATATGCAATAATTTTTATTTATCGTATGTTTCCATTCTCTCATAATACAACACTCACATGTATAGCAAGAGCAACTAATGCTAATAATATTTTTACAGTGAATCCAAGGCTGTGATTTACAAGCAAAGCTACATGTCAACAGATGAAGGGCGACTTTCTTTTTTTTATTGCAGTTTAGTTTGAAGTTTAGGAGGATTCTTCAGAAACTCCATTTGTGTCCATCTTGTGTCCATCATCAATACATCTTTCTGTATATGCATCTGGGTTTGTAGGGTTTTTTGTGATAAAGGTTTACTAAATAATAACTTTAAACTAACCCAAATGTAATTTCTCTTCAGTTTTGTCCACATTTCTTTGCTGCACAACAAACCAAGGTCAGTAAACTTAATTTCTATACTTCTGAAAATCTCATTCACAAAGAAAACTTTTATAATTTTTATAATTATAAAAAGTATTATAATATAATATAATATTCTAATTTAATTTAAGAAATTCAATAGCAATAATTCATTCCGTTAAAATTTTGTGCTGTACTGTAATGCAAGAATTATATAAGTTAACTGTTTTTGACAACAGTAAACAGATCATCAGTTTTGCATTTTAACCCTCACAGCTCGTCTGACTGTGAGTCCCAGCAGCTCTCAGGTCTTTAAAGGAGACTTTGTGTCTCTGAGCTGTGAGGAGGACGACAGCTCTGCTGGATGGACTCTGAGGAGAAACACAAGCAAACAACAGAGGACTCAGTGTGGAGATGGGTGGGGAGAAGCAGCTGGTTCTTCCTGTAACATCACCTATATCTTCATGTGGGACAGTGGGGTTTACTGGTGTGAGTCCAGAGAGGGTGCCATCAGTAACATGGTTAAGCTGACAGTCACTGGTAAGCTGAGTGTGTGGAGTTAGTGTTGATGAAGCTGTGTGTAAATGGATGAAATGCTGTAGTTTGTCTCTGTGTTGAGGTGGATCAGTGATCCTGCAGAGTCCTGTCCTCCCTGTGATGGAGGGAGATGACGTCACTCTGCTCTGTAAAACAAAGACCACTCCCTCCAACCTCCCAGCTGCTTTCTATAAAGATGGCTCCCTCATCAGGAAGCAGCCTACAGGTCACATGACCATCCAGCATGTTTCCAGGTCTGATGAAGGCCTCTACAAGTGTGACATCAGCGGTCATGGAGAGTCTCCATCCAGCTGGATCACTGTCACAGGTGACACACTCACCTGTCTGTGTTTCTGCAGCTTTCAACATTCACAATGTGACGACAACTTAATGACTGTGTTTGCTTTATTTTAGAGAGACCCACCACCACACCCCCACCTACAATCAGACCTCCACCTACATCCACACCTCCACCTACATCCACACCTCCTCCATCACTGTCCTCCACTGCTCTCTCTGTGTTGTCATTTCTTAAATCAATCTGTGGGTTCTTACTGGTGTTACTGGTTCTGTTAGGGAGACCATGTGTTCACAGGAAACTTGAAGGTGAGACTTATAAATTATTTTGATGTGATATTCACTAATATTTTTCTCAGAGTATGAAAGAGTAAATTATTTCGCTGTTCATTCTGACTGATTTCAGCTGATGGGGGAGAAGTTGGAGATAATGACATCACATACAGTGAGAGAAAATCTCAAATCATCGGCAACAGCCAATCAGAGGAAGCAGAGGTAGTGTTTAATATGCTGTGTCTAGCGTTCATGTTGATATTGAAAGAAAAGATAAAACTGGTCACATGAACTCCCTGAGCCTAAACGAATGTGTTAAACACAATAAAAAGTCCTTACATGTTCTGTGCATAATATGTAATCTGTCCACATTCACGTTTGTTAATGATTGAGGAATAACTCTTTGAGCTTCGGCCCCAAAAGCTACTTTTTATAAGACTTTTAAACAAATTAAACTCATTATTACTATGACTCTCCAAAAATCTAATCTACATGTAAATGAATCAAATTTATAGAGCCAGTGAGAAAAATAAACAACAAGTAACAAGTTGCAATTTTATCAACGTGTTATTATAAAATTGCACACACACACAGAAGATCTTATTTCCTGTTGCCTACACTGGTTTGTTTTTTATTCTTTCCACTCTGAAGTTTTTTTTATATTTGTACATCTTTGATTTCTTCCTCTTCATTTTAAAGTGACGTCAGTTATTTGTTTTAGTTTTTACCTTTTCGTTTTTACTTTTTACCAGGTGGACGCTCCTAATAAAGTCAAACAGTTACACAGTGAATTAGCGTTTATTATTATATTTACAAAATAACAACGTTTTTGTCTTCGTCGTGTCATTTTATTTTGTTGCATTTATCTGCAACACCTTAGGCTGGTCCATGAAAATATTGTCTGACATTAAACTGATCCGTGGCGCAAAAATGCTTGGGGACTGCTGCTGCAGGTCGTTCTATTTTGCTAATCCTTGTCAGGGCCATTGCAGGGCTGGAGCCTATCCCTGCTACCACAGGACGAGAGGATGCCAGCGTGACGTAGGGTTAGCCATTCAAGGTTACATTCACACCTTGGCAATTTAGAATTACCCTTAATAACCTTCTCCTCTGTGAATCGCTACCTTATCGTGGTGGAGGGGTTTGTGTGTCCCAGGGATCCCAGGGGCTATGTTGTCTGGGGGCTTTTGCCCCCTGGTAGGGTCTCCCATGGCAAATTGGTCCTGGGTGAGGGACCAGACAAAGAGCGATTCAGAAGACCCTTATGAAAAGAACATC